ATTTTGAAAAGTTGAACTTCTCTGTGATCTTTTCCTAACAGTAAATTCAACCTATCTTTAAGTATTTGACTGCTGATCTCAAATATTAACTTCGCTCAGTGTACTTACTCTCTTTGCGGTCATCTCTGGTTTATTTATGCGCCGCGCTCTTCATTAGTCTCCTTGGCATTTGTGCTTTTTGCCTATTTATTGTGCTTTACGCCTTGTCTATGTGATTCGCTACGTTCCGTTTCGTTCCGTTCTTCTGAACTTGAGGGACCACGTGGTGTGGATGCCGAGCGTGTGTGGATCGTGTTCGTATCTCTCGCATGTTGTATCTCACAGATATTGTATCTTGTATCTGGTATCTGGCTTCAGGAAGTGCTCCATCGCATTTACATGTGCGCCGTTCTCTCGCGCGCTCGCCAACATATTTGCATATTTACGTACGGCACCGCCACGCCCCGACCCCGCCCCCTCCTTCTTTTCGCCACCGATTCCGCCTCCTTGGCATTAACACTCTCTCACCGAAAGAAAAAGATGTAGATACATACATATATCAAATATGATCAATATGACTTTTTCATATCATAAAAGGAAAAATACCAGAATATTAATTTAGAAACTCACTGAAATATTGTACTTTGCTTAATGAAAGACCATATTCAAATACATATTAGATTTTATAGAGAAGTCAAATGCTCTAGAATCTATCTTATACATAACATAATTTAAGTTTGTTCTTAAAATCTTTTTTTTCGTATCGACTTGTTTTTTTTTTCTCTGTGCAGTTGATTCAGTTTCCCTCAATCTAAGTCGCACTTCTATCAGGAATTCTCTTAACAGATCGCTAAAAAGATCTGAAAAGAGGGCTGTGGGCAGGTATTGCTGTGTGTGTGTGTATTTGTGTATCTGTGTTGCGTCAATTCTCCCCGCGAATCGTGCGCTTTTGCGGCTGCATCAATTACGTCGTTAAATTAATCTGCTCGCCTTAATCTCAATAAATTAGAGATAACGCTTAAGCGATATTTTTGCATTTTAAATGCCACACGCTACCGGGGGGAAGCCGAACCGGTACAGTTATTGGAAATGGGTCCAGTACTACGACATCCAGAGAGCCTTCACATCGCTGTCCAAAGTGTGTTTGTGGGTTGCAGGGTCGTCGGTTGAAGGGGTTTGCTATATATACATATTCCTAAAAAAATTAGTCAACCTGTCTTAGTATAAACCATTTAATTTGATTAAAATATAAATTTTACTACAAAATACTAACACTTCCTTTAATGGTTCTTAGGTTTTAAGGTTTGTGGTTTTGTTTTTTGATTACTTCATTAATTTTGAAGTTCCCCCTGAACTTATCGAAATGGTAACGCCTCTGCTCGGAGAATTCCATGTGGCCACATTAGGGGGGCTCGCTTTGGCCAAACACATGCTCATATAAGCATAATTCCGCCTGCCAGTGTGTTGGTGGTGGTGGTGGTGGTGGTGGTGGAGTCTCTTAAAGTCTTGATAGCGCCCATCAACATCAACATGCGACTCGGCCACCGACAAACGTCACCAAATCTCGTTTCAGCCGAACGCAGTAGCACGGCTAATACCGTTTCGGCCAGAGTTGATCAAGCGATTATTGGGAAGTTTCCAGTATTAAGTCACAGTTTCGAAACGCTTTAATAGTAGATAATACGTTATGGCGAGATATTCAAAAGAATGAGATGTGTCGTTCAAAAGCCTTCATACTTTATTCCTTTAAAAGTAATAGTACTGTATTCATTTTTTTTATATATACCCTATCCAAGTCAATTAGGAATCACAATTTGTATTGCCGTTGCCAACAAGTTAGGAAAACAGTCGTGCTTTTAACTCCCTCGCTTCTTCTCGCACTTGCACTGCTCTCTATAATTGTTAAGTTAACAAATTGTTACCAACAATATTCAAATTTCCATATGGAACACACACACATACACATACGAGTATCTAAAGTCTGTCTGGTAAACAAACATCGGGCGAGTCAACTGTAGTCCAAGTTTCAGACCAGCCACCGCTATAATATACCGCCCCCGCCGTAACCCCCTCGATCCACAAACCGCATGCCAACAAAGTCGAGACATTAAAACAGAAATTATAATTTTTTGAAGGCCAAGCGTGAGTTGAGCCATTCGGATCGGCTCGACTCGATTTGGATCGCTTGGTTTTACTCGGATCGACTGGGTTCATTCATCTAATGGCAATTGCGTTGATGCCCTAGAAGGGGTTGGTATTCATAAATGTTGAGGGTTCTTACATATGGGTAACTGTTTTCATGGAAGAAATTAGAAAAACAATTAAGTTAACTTATGGTACATTATTCAGTTCATCAGAGCAAATGTGCGTATACGTAATTTTTCATATACAGTTATTTGATTCATTATTTTCATCCTGGTCAAAAAAGACTGTCAAGAATATAAGAATAATAAAATAAGAGCTTTAATCTTTTGGTCTCATAATTTTAAGGTTTCTGCGAAGTATTCTTTTCAAGGGTACTTAAGTTTTTGTTGCTTTAGTTTGCTTAGTTTTTTGGCGCCTTTAATCTCTTTTGGTTGGCGCAGAAACTGGAGAATTCAAATATTTGAAGGAGCCTTCGTCGATTTCGTCACTTTTGGGGTTCCTGTCGAAATTTGGCGCGCAGTTTGAAACCTGAGTTAGTGGCTTGCGTGTCCAGTTTGTCAAATTTGGATGCGATTACGAGACGGAGACCGAGACGGCGTCAACCATTTGCCATTTGCCATTCGCCACGCGCCAACGCAAATGAAACGCCTTAAATACATTTCTTTAGACATCATTTTTTTTTTTGAGCTGGCAATTACAATCAAGTATTGGAAACTTTTGTTTGGAATTTTTTGTGGCGTGGGCGGCCTATTAACACTCTGATCAAGTGGTTCTAATAAGCTTTTATTTGATCCATCGAATAAATAAATTAGTGTTAATTTGATTCTTCAGCTAACACGTAAGTGTACACGTTTTTTTAATGCAAGTAATTTATAGCCTAGTTCCAGATGGAACTTACCTATACCAACGTACATATTACTTATCAAACTTAAGCCATCTTTATGGCATTGTAAAATATAACTATAGCAGGGCTTATCTTCTTGTTGTTCTCGCATTAGAAAATCCCTTTGTACACAAACACCATTTTGTTGTCATTCCTCGGGACTTTGGAGACACTTGGGCTAACAGTCTTTTGAGATTATTTAATAAAGTTTTGTTCTAAAACACGGATAAAATAAGTCCAAGGTACTGAAAAGATTTTGCAAAAATAACTTTTATTGTTGTAGCTGAAGGTAGTTTTTAATTAGCATGATAAATTTCAATAAATTTAAAACATAATAAATAAGTGACTTTATATGTCCCACTTATGCATTTAGTTGGGTTCAACGGATAAAGATATAAAAAGGTATACAAAATCGGAATTCAAAAGTGTGGTGACCCAATTAAATTATTTTTTCAAGATTCTAGGCTAGCAAAAATGCAGGTTAAATTCGCATCATTTTTGCAGAACATCTTCTCGGATCGACGATCGTTTCTAATCCGCCTTGGGAACGATCGAATTGGACATTAACTTTTGACGATCCATAAACTGTTGGTCCCCGGCCTTTGCGTCTAGACTTCATTAGCCGTGTAATGTTGCGGAATTTATGTGGCAGGCACATTAAAAAAACACCGATACACACTCACATGAACGGGTACCATATGTATATATGTATGTATGTATGTTTATTTACCGATATCGAGCCTAGGCGAAAACAGAAGAAGAAAAAAACAAACTAGCATCAGAGAGAGGTTTTTTTTTGGGGTGGGGGCGTTGGTACTTTGGTAATAAAATACATTCTTCCAAAAAGCTCCCATTTTAGCAGAGATGCGGGGAATTTTAAAATCCATATTCATATGCACAAATGTGCAGTGTTGGCATTATCAGTTGAATGCAATTTCGGGAAATTTTCCATCACATCACGAGACAATGAACGTAAGACAGAGAGAGAGCGAGGGACTCAGAAAGAGAGAGAGAGCGGACAATCGTGAGATAACAGCTGCCTTATCAGCAATGCCGACCGCACGACCGACCCACCCAAACGCCCCACAACCACCCACTCCCTCCGCCCAACCGCCCCCTTTCCTTCCGTCGCTTAGAATTTCGAGTTCAGAGCAGCGCAACCAAAATGAAAAGAAACAATTTAAATTCCAACTGTATAAAATAGGTAAACTATGGCTTTTACATATTTATTGATATTGAGCAGGCACAGAGGCGGCCACGAAAATAGACAAGAAATATTTTACTTGCAGGAGAGTAGTGATCAGCTCAATTTAAATGTTTATTAAAACATTGACTTCTTAAAAAAGTATACATATAAATCTTGCGGATACCAAAGTATCTTCTCGATTTAAAAGCGATGGGGCAAAAGACAACACCTAAATCTAAAAAGATCTTTAGAACTTGGAAAAACACCTGCGTTTCTTTCAGTAAGTAAATAAAAAAAAGTTTTTTTTTGATTTAGCATACCCCACTACCATTTCGCCCACCGCTGTTTGCGAATGTGTGTGTGTGTGTGCGAGTGCGCCACAAACATTCAGAAAAAAAACCATGAAGTGAGCGGCAAAGTTGAGGCGGTCTTTTTTAGCCGTGTGGAACGCAAGTGGATACCGAGAGCAAAGCTCTCCCACTCTCTCTTTTGGGGCTGCTTCGGAACGCACACACACATACGCACGCACCCCCGACCAACGAATAGACCGCCTTTTTGCGCCGCCAAACGAATGCTTTGGGCTTAGGTATGGGCTTTTAACGGACCGATGGACCCGAAGAGACTACCTTGTGCTCTACACGGCCTCGCACTCTCGTCCGTAATTCGTAAAATATAAAATCAGTTTCAGTTGTCAGTTTCGCATCCAACTAGAAAGCAGTTAACGAGTAGTCCGTGTTTTTTTCGCTTGCGGTTAAAAGCCACGAGGTCGTTCATCGTTTTCCTTTTCAGCAAACATACAGCAGAAATACACAGTGATCTTTCGGACCCTCTTCTTAACAAAAGATCTAAAAACGTTGAATCGTAAATTGCAAATCTGTCAAAGAAATGTGGAAAAGTTTACGGAATCATAACATGTGAATGTGCGGAACTCAAAACTAAAGCGTAGAAAGAACGCGTTCGTTTTTTATTCGGTATATAAAATAAGGGAAAAGCTCCAAAACGTATTATATAGCGATGCTTGGATGATCTTCGCAGTCACGTTGTACATATATGTATACATATACATATAAATACCATTAAAAAATACGTTACGCACACTACTAGCCCAATCGAATTGGAGTAAGCTCCGAAACGTGTTTATATTAAAATTTTTTACCCATTTGAACTTTAAACAACTTTTCGACTGCGCCGCTCGGTTTTCATTGAATTCTCATACGAATTCCAATTAAGTGTTGTGTGTGCGTCCAATTGGCATGAATTGATGACGTGACGTGATCGCGCGGCTTTCGCTCTCTTCTCTTCGGCACACACACACACATAGACAGTACTCTCTTTAATCGCGTGGCTCTTTCGCGCTCTTTTTATTTGTTTATTTTTATTGTTGTTATATATATCCTAATTTAACGTTTTTACCATATAATCTTTAGCTTAAGCAAAATCCACCGCCCAATAACAAGAAACCCAGTTTATGTGTGTGCGTGTGAGCAAGAAATTATGCCAGAAGAAATCTAAAAAATATATATTCAACCGCTAAAAATCAAGAAATCCGCACAAGTTTTGCTCAAAACAACAACACAAATATATACTACCAATAAAACAAACAAGCCCATTAAAAAGTGCAAAATAACAAGGAAAATAAAGTAAAACAGTGCCAGTTTCTAGCAACAACAACAACAACAAGAGAACGGCGATCAACAAATTCCACCGGCAGAATCAACAAATTAAATAACGCAGTCAACAAGGAGAAACGATTTGGCAAGCGATTTTACATTGCAAACTTTTGGCGGGTAAATAATAAATAATAACAAATAGGTGTACTTGTTGAAAGAATAACTGTCATCTAAGATTTAACTATTCTATAAAACAGATCTTAAGAAATATTTTTCCGTGTTAAAACCGTTCTGGTATCACCATCTTGATATTTGCAATTGAACCTAATAAAATACAAACATTAAAATACTTTGTGAATTGACAATTCATATAAATTCCAGGTATACAGTTATATGATTTAAATTTTTAGGTAAAGGAACTTGTTTCCTAAGAAAGAATAATTGAAAAGCTCTCACTATCAAAATTGATAAGATGATTTGAACCAAAAACAAACTGCCCTAGTAATTTACAATCGTTTCACTTTCAAGATCAGAACGTTAGAACCATAAAGTCAAAGCCGTGTCACGTTTCGTGCTCCAGTGCGTTCAATAGATGATCTTTCGGTTCGTTCGGTCTTTGATTAGTCCGTTTTGGTGTGTTACTTTGTTCGGAGTGGGCTGGGGAGATCTTAATTAGAGCACTGCTGATAATGGCTCTAAAAATAGAAACCCAGCGCCACACTGATAGCAGAAGTCGTAGCGTGTGTCGCTTTTAGAGTCCGCTGCTTATTTCTTTCTGTGTTTGCTCCCCCGATTTTCATATTCGACCAGTGAAGGCCGATTTTGCGGCTATATCGCCAGCGCATTATACGCTCACTGTTTCTATGTTTTTAAATAATTTTCGACATCTCTATTGGCATTGAAATGCGATCAGGTTTAATTTTCATAAATGGCTTGATTCGGTTAGATGTCAAAAAAGGCTCTTTTTCCATACGCTGATAAGGGTTTTATCTATCCACAATGTGCCAAGGTACAGCAGCTGATGGCCCAAAATATATACAACACACACATACATATGCCTATATACTTTGTCGTTGGTGTGGTTGTGGTTTTGTTTTATCATATCTCGAGTGTTTGTTGGCCACATTGGTGGAACGTGCCAGGTGATAAGAAGAAAGTGTGCAAAAGTTTGTCGAAAAAGCTGTAATTGGAGTGGAGAGACCGGGGAAGTAATTAATAATGGGACTACATTTTATAAGGAGAAGCTTTGATAAATGTTTTTTAGCGGGTTTGCTGAGTAATGCTGAGTAGTGAACTACTCAAGTAATTCTGTTATAGCTTTCAATGTTTTATAAAACAATTTCTTTGTATTAAGGATAGAGGAATATATTAAAGTTACTATTTTGCGATGACCCCAAAACGTTTGTAATGCAAATCGATAACAAAGTCAGATGATCGCATCCAAGCTTTCCATGCGTCAGCTGTCAATCGAAGATCGTTCTTGGGTGACTTCTCCATCGAATCGAATCCATTGCTCTTTAATTATTGTAATTAATTCTACAAACATTGTACAGGGCTTTGGCGCTCATTTGCATTCGCAGTCGCTGCATTCTGAACTATTGCACATTGCCTGGTCGGTCGGGCCTCTCCTTTTTCTGTAGAGAACACTCTTTTCTCTTTCTTCTCCTTCTCTGTCGCCCCAGCGGCGCGTGTTTCTCTCCTAGGCCCACGTGCCGCCAGATAACTGCACTTTCAATAAGCTTTTATTTGAATAAGCTTCCGCGATAATTGACTTAATAAATTATTAAATATTAACAGCGTAGAAAAAACCAGAATGCACTGACTGACGGTTCCTTGTGCATTTCTAAAGGCTAACTAATAGGAAAATTATGCAAAGCCGTTGCTAAAGTATTTTATCAGATCAGCTTTTCATAATTTAAAATTTACTATTAAATTGTATATTTGAATAAAATAAATACAACATTCGAAATAAAAAGATCTATCTTTTTAAAAAAATTAGTTTTATAAAAAGCACAAGAGGTGTAAAAATCACCGCTTATTGAAAGTGTCGCAAAAAAAGATTTGTTGTCCAAGGTTTATGTTTGGCATTGTCAGGGGGTTACGGTGGGGGTGGGGCCGTCTAACGGGGGGTTGGGGAAAGGGAGAGGGTTGCGATAAGCCGCTCGCCACAATGAGAAAGAGATACATGAGTACAGACAATTTTCACATGGCAACTAATTCTCTGGCTGGGAATGCATAAATATGATGTGCATTGCTTTTGCTTCAGCTCTTTATCGCTCCTTTATCTTTTCGTTTGCGTGATAAGAACGCAGTCAGGGGAAAAACTCCCGAACAAAGTGTCCAAGAGGAATTATGGAGCATTATAGAGTTCACTGGTTGATTGACATTGCTGAAATTCCGCAAAGTGAAGAAAGAAAAGTGAAAGATGTTGTGTTTATTCTATTAAATATTTCCTAAACGTTACTTTAATTGAACTTAAACAATTTGTATCATATGTATTAAACATTTTCAGAATAAAGATGATAACAAAGATCCTATAAATACAAGAATTAGTATGAAAGGCTAGGCATAATACAGTTGCAAATTTGAAGTTATGTATGATTAACTATAACAATTAATAATCCACCGATTATGCATAATTATTTATGGATTCAACCTGCAGAAAAGGAAGCCAAACCCCCGTCATATTGAAGTACTTTATCAGCAGGTTGGCCCATGACGAAGTTGATATTGCTGGAGTGCAATTCACTTTCGAGGCAAAGGTCGTTCGGTTTTTGGAGGGTGACAAAGCACACACATTGTGAGTGAGACCAGACCAGACCAGCAAGTGGGTTCGATGTGGCCTCGTCATCGGAACGATTATCGTTTTGATCATTATGATCATTATTATGGGGTCGCGAGGTACTCGACGGGCTTGGACCTGAGATCTTGGGCCTGGGGAACCGAACCTGGGCTTCGGGATCGATGTCGTCGCCGTCGTCGTCGTCGTCTTGATCTTCATCTCGAAGTCGGCTCATTAGGCAGGGCAGACCGGACCAGATCGGTTCAGACCATACCAGTTGTACGAATATCTCCCCACCGACGACCAGCTGTCAGTCTTGCTTTTTATTTTCTCTGTTTTGGGTTTCTGTCTTTTTTTTTCGCCTTTTTCTTTTCTTTTTTTTTTTTTTTTTTTTTTTTGGGCCGAGCATCGGGCCTTTTCTCGCATTGACTTACTTTGCTTTATAATCCTGTTTGACGGGTTGTGCTGGGGAGTAGATCTCTTTTACTTCCACATTGCTGAACCCGGTCATGTGTGTGAGGGGCAGGTTCCGGGGCGGCGAGGAGCCGAGATATACCTGAGATTCAGGGGCACTCAACGGTCCAGTCTCTCATGCTCGACACAAGAAAAAAAAAAAAAATCACATGGTTTTCGCTAAAGGCTTCAACGGACAGAGCATCTGGCGGACACTTTTCTGCCCGGCTTTGCGATCTTCAGGGGTTTGCTCCTGCTGATAAGCACAGAGTTCCCAGGGAAAGGGTTTCTTTCTACGATGGGTTGAACAAAATAATTAGGAATTACAAGTTCAAATAGTTTGGAGGAAATCGCAGATTATGCTAAACAAGTTTGGAAAGTGCTTAATGTTAATCGAATAAGTGAATATTAAGGCACTCATTTTTACTGATTAAGTGAAGGCCAACTAGGAATGGGAGTCTCTCCTCCAAAATATATACTACCTACGCCCCTGAATCCGCGACTTCTTGGCTGGCTTATCATTTAATCTGAGAGGCCAAGTCGATCCGGAACAGCTGCTTCATGTTAGCCTCGGCAGCGCTGAGTGCCACCAACTGATAGCCGAACTTTTGCTGTGCCACCTCGAAAAAAAGTGGGGAATAATACTCATACGCATATATTTAGTAGAACAGATGAGAAAAGTCGGGCGGAGCAGAGCGAACTATTGAAAGGCATTACGTAACAAGTGTGAGTTTATTTTTGTTTTGTTCGCTCTGTTGATCTTTCTTTACTCCGCTTTTCTTTTGATTCTGTTTTAATTTTTTATTATATCTTTTTATTGCCGTCTTTATTTAGTTTTCTTTACTTTTCTTTTCCTTTGTTTTGCCCTTCTTTTTTTTTGATTATTTTTTAAGATCTGTTTTTGCCATTCGATTTGGCTTTTTGTTTTTTCCACTCGCTTTCGTTTCGCTTTCGGTTCTATATTTCTAGCTATATATATTTCAACAGCTTTCTGAGGACCCCCACGTTTATTCTATTCATCTAGTTTTAGAATTTCTCAACTTGTTGCGCATCCCATAGCCACACCCCCTTCGAGAAAAAAAGGGGCCACTTGAAGATTTTCACCCTAGTGAAATTTTCGCCTTCGATCTGTTCGTTCGTGACATTGAAATACTTGGAAGGAATGCTGTGGGAAAATTTTTTGTGTACGCGCTCTCCCCAGTTTCCTGAAACCGTTGTGTAATTTTTGAAAATATACAGATGATATTCAAAGCCAAATTCCACATCCCACGCCGGGTTCTTTAAAGGTGATTTATGCTGGCCGCCCAGTTTGAGGAAATCGCCAACAAAACACGCTTCCCCAAATCACTCTATAAATTTCGCCGCGTTAATAAGCCTTTTGCGTTGTTTGAATTTTCATTAGAATATTATCCGATATTATCGCTAGTATCTGATTAACATAATCTGACAAGCTCGAGTTGTGCTCCATTGATCCCCCCGATCAAAGAAAAACACCTACGCAAATATGCGTCACCGAAATGCAAAGCAAATTTTACCTTACCCACTTATCTGATGTAATAAAAAATACACATGTTTGTCGAGAACCTGTCTTTAAATCCCCCAGCTCAACCTACTTAGTATATAGTGAGTATATATAGAGCGCTGTGACGCAGGAGATCGCATCAGGCCACAGATCGAGTAAATGTCATACTCAATCCATATTTTTTTTTTATTTGAGACGAATTGTCTTGTTATTGTTTACATTTTCTATGCTTTCCTATTTCTAGTTCTTTGTGTTTTTGTTTTGCTTCTGCCCCCTGGTTATTTTCATATAATGACGTGGTTGAATATTATCAAATGTTAATGCATATTATTTAATGTTTCGCTCGCCACTTTGCGACGCAATTTCTCTTGTTCGAAAGTAAGAAATAGATTAATATTTAAGTGCAAAATGCAAATAGAAATACTCGCTTACTCAAAGTAGTTGGCAGCCGGCAATAAGGGGCAGCAATTAGAATTTTACACTATTTTTGAAAGCAAAACATTCTGGACTTTAATGATACTCAGTAGATGAGAGCTGGACTATATTAAATATATTTGAAACAACATTTTAGAATATTATTGCGTTGTTCTGAAACGCATTAGCTTAGCTTATAGAATGTTTTAGCTTATATAAAAAATGTACATTTATTTAAACATATTGAAATCAGTAAACCTTTTGAAATGAGAAAAAGAGGGGAAACGAAGAGAAAGCGTTAATATTGTGACCCCAAAAGGGAATCAATGAACTTTGTTGCAGCTTGGAGAGCCTCTTCAAAACTTTTAAGATACAGATACAGCGAATATAAGAGTCGATCCCTTCTGGACTTAAAGTTACTACTAATTTCAGTTTGTTTCGCGAGTGTATTTCTGGGTTTCTTTTTGGCAGACTCATTAAATTTGCTTTGATTTTTGTTGTTGCTAGTGGCTTAGGTCAGGTTGGAATGTTTCGGTTAGTTATTTTGCTGTCTGGGTTTTTTTTTGTTTGTTTTTTTTTTTTGCGCTGGGGGCATTTTTTCGCATTCGCATTGCCATTATTTGCGGCCATAAACCTTTCGCTAGAAAGATATTATGCAATGACAAACGACGTCGCGCGACCTTATCTAGATACATTAGATACATTAAAACCACCAGCACAAAAAATATGAGCGGTTTTTCGAAAATTTCCGAGAAAGAAATAATGAGGTGACGATCGGAATGCTTTCAGGTAGGCAAATGTTTGGGTAGAGCGAATGAATGAACTTCCGTGTTCTCAAGGTAGTTCTTTGATGTCGAAGTCTCTTCCTTTCCCCTTCTCCCATTCTCGCAATCTTTCTCTTTCTCTTTGGCGCACCAAAAAAAAAAGTTGTATAAAAGCTGAATAAAATTGCCTCGAACGATCCTCACACACACACAGATACTAACTGGGGTTTCAGAGTGTGCGAGTGAGATGAATTTTAATTCAGATACGAGCTACGCACACTTTTCAATTTGTTTACAATTTTAACTTTAAGAGAACGAGCTCTTTTTTAGAGCTTTTTGCGCTCTTATTGTGGCGTACGTTTCGAAATATTTTAGCTGAATTTTTGGAGCAACGAAACTGGATTTTAATTTCGTATAAACTTTTACTTGAATTTCGAACCGTTTTGATAAGGTTTTTAATGCTGAATGTCTCATTGTTTTAAGTTTAAAATTGCATCAGACGATTTCCATTATCAGGTAAATTGATATATGTTCCTGAAATGACCAATTAAAATTTGACAATCCTAATGGTTTATTGCTTTGATTAATTAAAAAAGCTAGTTAATGTTTTTACCTAATTGATTGCTGTTCTGTAGAACTTGTTGCTCTTTGTTTGGTGTACCTAATTTTCGGTTAAAATTGCACCAGACAAACGTATCAAGGTTCGTGCGATGCTCGTTACGCCTGAATGACTTATCAGTTCTCCCATTCCAGACAGAGTCAATAGACCTATATATTTGAACAGATTAACAACTCGTAGGGAAGGCGAGAGAATGAGAGAGACTTAGCCCGGATTTGTGTAAGACTCTGGTTTGATTACCCAAACTTATACTATCAACAATTATTAGGGAATTGATAACTGCCGTCGCCGCCGCGCTAATTGAAATCGTTTTTTTCATTGCTCTGCTCATTCCATCTGTGTGCTAAATTTAGTCATAAAGGCATTTATAGATTTTATTAAAACTAATTGATTTCCATTTCCAAGCGACGACAACAAAAATGTGGAGCATTGGAATGCAAAGAAAATGTGCGAGGCATTTGAACAAGATCATAACCTACATTATCTCGTTTTTCCTCTCTTTTCCTTGGCTCCGCTGATAACGCTCTCTTATTTCCATTTAAGAGATTTTTCTCTGGGCGCTGCAAATGTTTAATCTTGTGATTTTTAATTTTTTTTTATTTCCGAAGAAAAATAAACAAATAAAATTTCCAGAAACTATAAACTTCTATTGATTTGATTGTAGTGCGAGCTGGTAGTAACTGGTACTAAAACACTTTTAAATTATAAAAACGTGTACTGTAAATCAACCGCAATCGGATTATAAAAACGTCACAGAATAACTGAATAATTTGTCCAACGTTTGTGTTCAATAACTTAAACATTAAACCGGAAGTTTCTAAGCTCGATTAAAAATTGACAAAAAAAGATAGTTAATACTGAAGATCATATCCGCTCTCTCCAAAAAGGTGATTAATCTAATCGTCAACTGCAAAATCGAATTGTCAATTATTTGAACGATGCAAGATCATTTGGAAATCGTTTTCCACATTTCGAGGCACGAAAACAATCAAAATGTAATTTTGAACGAAAAGCTTTAGAGACAGTTTGATGATGACTTGGCATAATCACAAAAAGTCATTTAAAATTCAAGGTTAATTTTTGGCTTACATTATCAGCAAAGCAAACACATCCGCTATGTTTTTAGAACCCGTGTTTTAAGATTTTTATGAGATTATTCTTTACCTCATATTAAAAATATAGAAAATGAATGTAAAATGCTGATTTTAAATATATTTTTCCTTCTGTTCTCAGGTGTCTTTTGATCGCGAACCCTTCCAACTACTTCTATTTTTTTGTGCGCTGGCGAGGAGAGCTTGAGGCACCGCAAAGCTGCAACTGCACAACGACCTTTTCTACCCCATGATGGACAGCTTCGCGCAGGACTGGCCCACGTTGACCCACACAGACAACGGCCTTGTGATGGACCAGCTGGCCGTGGGGGTGGACCTGCCCGTCGAAGTGGGCTTCGAGCCCCAGACGAGAGCCAGATCCAACACATGGCCATGTCCGCGGCCCGAGAACTTCGTGGAGCCCACCGACGAGTTGGACAGCACAAAGGCCAGCAATCAGCAGTTGGCCCCAGGAGGTAGGATTTCATATAAACTAGTGGGAAAATCATGAGGAAAAGTCATCTGGCGAGCAACTTTGTTTTAAATGGGAAAAGTCACATCCCTATGCTTCTCATAGGGATATTTTTTTGCTCTCTGTGATTTATTTTTTTCCCTCCCCTAATTAAAATCATATATATTTCTTTAATTTTTCCGAAAACAGACTCACAGCAGGCTATACAGAATGCGAATGCAGCCAAGAAAAACTCATCGCGTCGAAATGCATGGGGAAATCTATCCTATGCGGATCTCATCACGCATGCCATTGGATCGGCCACCGACAAACGACTGACTCTGAGCCAGATTTACGAGTGGATGGTCCAGAATGTGCCATACTTCAAGGACAAGGGCGATTCGAATAGCAGTGCCGGATGGAAGGTAAGTAAACCAATAAATGTGAATGCGTTTTCTATATAAATGAGTTGCAGAATTGCAAATCTTCAGGATTCAAGTTTTGAAACAATTTATAAACCTTCGCTAAATGTACCCTCGTAATTGGAGAATGATTCTTTGATGTTCTTAAAAGTTATAAAAACTCTAAAATTCTCTTTTCAACAATTTCCAAGCTTGTCCTCCGTGCACTTTCACATCTTTCACTCACTTAGTAAAATCTTCTTCTCGAAACTCCAAACTCCACTGGGTTTTTGTGTTGTTTATGTTTATTTTTTTGAGAGCTTTTAGCTTCGTCTTTTTACCCACAATGTTTGTTGGCTTTCAAATAACAATTTCGTTCACATTTCGCCGAGCAAACGGTCAAGTTCATGGCCAAGTCAGTCAAGTGGAGTGAGAGTGGAGATAAAGTGGAGCTTGTGTGTTTGGCTTTCATATTTCGTGGTCTTTTTTCGCTATTATTATGCAATAGTCAGTCAGCCAGCGTTGTTTTTTGTTGCCATTTGCATTGGTTTTTGTTTCCAGCTTATTTGGTGAGTGTGTTAACTGGCATCACATTTCTCACTGTCTTTGCTGGATTTCCATGCTTTTTTTTCTCTTTGGTTCACACAGTTTTGCAATTAATGCGCTTTTATCTTCGGATCGTTTTTCGTTTTGTTTACATCGCAGCATACGTAAATAAATAGACGCGTGCACAATCACATGCACGAGTACATGCATAAATCATGCTTGATTTTCATTTTCATTCAGATTCAGATACAGATACAGATACAGATACAGATACAGATACCGGTTCCCCTTGTTTGTTTTCCTTCTCGTAACCACTCTATTTAAGTACTCTTATGAATGGGTACTTCCTTTGGGTTTTCAGGAAGTCCCTTGGGGAATCATAGAAGCAATCGAGTCAACAAAAAATATATTTATTGTGAAATCAAAGTTAAAGTCAGGTTCTGCTTTCTTGTTTTCATTTTTTTTCGTACTGATAACATTTGCTTACATAGACAGTATTCGAGTATTTGTTTATTTATTCCATACGATCTTTTTTGCAAGTTATCAATAATCGCCAAAGTTCATTGACTCTCACCTCAAATTGGTGCTCTTTTTGGCTAGCAAACAATATATATACATATATAATTTCATAGGTATAACCTAGTTAAACTTATTAAAAGTAAATCGTATAGGTTGGAATTTCAGTGATTGCACTTCCTAGAACTCCTTCCGCTTATGATCGTCTGAGAATTCGTTATCCGCCCTATAAATCATTCGATCCACACTCATATTTCTTGGCGAAAACTGTGCGTCATTCACGTGATTGTTTTCCTTATCATTTTCGCTGATACTTCAATGCAAGAGAGCCCTCCAATATTTTCTTTGTTGGCTCTGGCTTTGGCTTTGGCTTTTTAGCACCTCGCTGTGATAAAAGTCCAACGGCAGTTAAAGAATGCGCTGCGCTGGCTACGAAGAAATCGAAGACGGCTCTTCGCCTGATACCCGAAACTTTATTTTGCGCAGACTGCGCGCTTCCAGTGAATTTCAGTCTGTTTTTGTTTTGAGTACATTTTTTCTTAGGGCTGTGAACTAATATAAGCATTATTTATATTAATGGTGTTGTTTATAATTGTTGTTGATGGCCGCTTTTTTGCAAGTATCACGGAAGTAGTCGGTCTGCCGTTTTGGGTTTTTTAGTGATTACAAATGGGAATAACAATCACTGTGATAAAGAAATTTATTCTCGCGTCGTAGAAAGCGGCATTTGAGCCTAGATAGAAACTTCTAGGAATGCGAAAAAACGTAAACAAGAATGCAATCAGTGCAGTTTTCAGAAGGATTAAAAGTCATGAATGACTAATTTTCTTATTAAAGGTGTTGTTTTAAACAAAAATGGGACGTTCAATAGTTTACTTTGAACACGTTAAACCTCCTAAATCTATAAAATTAAATTAATAGATTTAACAAGCTTATTATTAATGCATACATTATTATTTTCCATTCCAAACTGCTTTCCTCATAATATTCTTTGCATATTTGCCTTAGTAAACTCCTACACAAATATGGACTTATGGACTTGACTTATTTTTAAACGCTTCCTGCTCTTCTATTGAAAGGAAGAGTTCTCTGTGCGGCGCATTCCTTCATAAAGTTTTATGACATTTGCTAATTTATGCAACACGTTGCCGCGTTCCACCTGACACTTGCTTCCTTTTTCCCCAGTCTTTCACCCTGTCCACGTTCCTTGGTTTTTTTCTTGGTTTTTTTTTCTTTGGTGGCAGAGCTTCCTCCTTGAATAGTCGTCATAATAATAAAGAACGAAACGAGCGAAACACTCAAATGACATTTGTGGAATTTTAAATTTGCCACTCGACGGCTGCACTGCAAAGGCTTCCTCTTCCTCTTCCTCCGGTGGTTGCTGGTTGTATGTTTGGTGGTGTATGTGGTGTATGGTGGTGTATGGTGTTTGGTTGGTGGTTCGCTGGCTCGTGTCTTCATCATCGAACTCATCCTCGTCGCTCGTTTTGGCCATTGAACCGCTGCCAAGTATTTCTTTCTGTTGCTCTTTTTATCAATTTATTTTTGTGCGCCCAAAATGTTATTTTTATTTTCCCTGTTCTTTTTTTTTTTTAATTTTATATTTGCCTCTTTTAATTGGCAGCGAACCGCAGCGTGTTATAAATATTTTTTTGGCCCAACATTTTCGTGGTTTTCAGTCGGGCAGAGAACTCGTCGCGCTTTGGCAATTATGTTTGGAAATTTTCTGTAATTTATGACGGCTTCTTAGGTGGCATCCCACTATTTACGATGGGCTCATTTCACATTTCCTGATTTTATTGGGGAAGGCGTGCGGAATTTTACCCACCGACTAGCATGCACAGAGATCATGGGGGCGAAAAGATCAGAGATTATGGTGGAGAATTATTTATACATTTAATTCGATGGCGAAGGTGTTATAATGTTGATCTTTTGCCAGAATCAACTGGAAATTTAACGACCTTCTTGTGCGGAAAGTTCCCGATTTAGAACGATTGCTTGTAATCGGAGAGATAGCACAAGCATTATTGTGTAATATCTGAACAATGCAGGGCTTATAGTGAGAATGCAGTTTGTTCAGCACTCCGCTTGGCCACCTTTGTTAACTTTTGGCTTTACCAGTGGGTCTTATCGAGGCAATGGCCTTGCCAACAATGCACCAGAAACTGGAATATGGAAGAACCCAAAGTCGAGCGGCGAAGTGCGCATTACTCACTTAGTCACTCAATTGACCGGTGCAAGCCCTTTAAAACAATATAAATATGCAATAAACTAGGGAATATAACGGCATTCATTAACGTTTTGATATAGAAGCGCACATCTTGCGTAATCAATTTGACACTTGACAGTGCACTCGTGCACCCCCCTTCCCCCTCCCCCTGATCTGTGCTACATATTCCGCCCCATTTTCTTATTATATTTCCTATATTTTCTCTAGCTATTCACGCTTGTTAGCCGCGCATTAAGTATACGCATTGTTGGTCTGCCTGTGTTTTATTTTGTTTTTTTGCGGCGCATTTTGTTTGTTGTAAAGTGCATTCGAAATGCTCAAAAACAATAACAAGACACTGTTAAATCGAAGCGATATAAGTTTTGTGTTTTGCCTTGTTTTTATTATGATTATTTTGAATTTGATTTGGCAGGGGCGTTGAAATGAAACGTGCAAATACTGGAAATAATCAAATTCTGGCAAAAAGCAAATGCCACTGCGAATTGTGAATTACGAATTGCGAATTGAGAACTGCGAACAAGAACGCGATCAGCACTCTAAGATCGGCGGGCACATAATATTCGTTTATAAATAAGCATTAACCTTGCTCGCAGCAGACCATGCCGAGCTATTCGTGGTATTTATTTCTATTATTTCTATTATATGCATGCAACTCTCAGTCTCAGTCGGTGTGGCCCCACTTACTCTGCCTGCCGGCAACTGCGTAGTATTCACACGCCCCCTTTTTTCAGTGTGTTTTTTCCACCTCTCTCCCTCTCTGATTTTTTCTAGTTTTTTTTTTTTGTATTTTCCCTATGCTGATAGCAGTGGAGGCGACACGGAAGCAGCCGCGCCCTCGCTTTTCGTCACCATATAGTTTGCTTTCGAAATGTTAGTAAACAATTATTTCGCCAAAGGGGGCTCGAACTTACAGCCATAATAGTAAACCCTTCCAGCTGCATTACCCATTACTCAACAATCTAACGCGTAAAACGTTTATTCGATTGGATTATTTAATTTATTACCTAATATATTCGTCCATTTAATGGCGTTTATATAACATCCTAATGGATCAGAGCGGCGTAAAAATGTCTGATATCGTAAAAAAGATTCCGAGAATTTATACTTGAATAACTTGCTGGCTTTACTGCGCAATAATAATATATTATATTTAATTGCAATCATTTAATATTTTAATACATTCTTTATTTAAAAATAGATGGCCTTGCGTGTTTTTATTTTTAATAGGTTTAAAAAAAAATTAGAGCTGAGAGAAAAATATTACTTAATTTTACATATTTTATTAGGATTTATATTTTATCATTTGACCGACAGTGCTTTTAAAATGCCAACACGAAATCGTACATTATATCTGGTAATATTTTTTGGCATCCTCTGTCACCTTCAGTAATTTATTTCCGAGCATTTTCGGTATAACTGATGTTCCTGAGAAACGAGGCCCTAAAAAAGTTCGCAAATCATCAGTCAATCACGTAAACGCAAACACACTATATCTATGGTATATATACTGTATACGTTTCGTCTGACCTGTCTAGATCGTAATGGTTATAGTCTGGCCATTAATTATGCTGCACTTACAATGTGCACTCGGCATTTCGTTGAGTGAGGTTAGTGTGCAATTTACTGAGCGTTTTTATTGCGGCACGCCTGCAGTTGTTGTACTAATTAACACCACCGCCGCAGTCGCAGTAAAATGCACAAAAACTCACATAGCCGCATGCCACATGCAAAT